ATACCCATAGCTTCAGATATTTAAAAATCATGCATATTCAATTTGTGAAAAGAATTTAGAGTAAATTTTTCATTATTGAAATTAAGATAAACAAAACCTTTCTTAGAAAAATTTTCTCGAAAAAAAAAATTATTCAAGACCTGTTATTGTAAATGGTATTCGTGGGGTTCGAACCCCCTAGCAATAAAAACATTGAGTATCACCACAGACACTTGAGGGCTGGACCCCCCTTTTTTCACATCACCTTTGCTATTGAAAATGTCCATTGAAAGGTTGGTTGGACTTAATTCTTACCACAGTATAGTGATATCAAGAAAATGTAGTATTGTATCACTATGGCAAAAAAAAAAAAAAAAATTGGCCACTACCCCCCCCCCCCCCCGAAATAGGATTTCCAAATTTTCAAATTTGGTCAAAATCCCTCCCTTCTGTTTTGCTTGTCAACTTTTACAGGTGAGTAAAATTTTTTCTTGCCCCCGTTTTAAAAAAGGTCGCACGTAACATCGTTCCCCCCCCCCCGTTGCTACGTGCAGATCTATGTTAAGGGACTCCGTCCCTCAGCCAGGAAGGACAACTCTTTAATTTAAATTTTAATTCAAAAAGTCTTTAAATGAAGCTTGAAAATTAAATATTTTCATGCAACAATATTCATTATAAATACATATTTATATGTACATATTTCTCCAAATATTAGCATTTTTATGATCGTATACATTGTAAAATAGTGATTATTTAAAGGTCGTTGAAGAAAATACATGTATCATCTAAATGTACATGTATATTGAAATAATAAAGTAAATAGTAAATTTTCAAGGAATATATTCATCTCACCCTTTTTTCTACATCATCAACATAATAATGCTTTAATCATTGGAAAGTAGTATTTGAAAGGATCCTTGACCAGGGAAAAACCGCTGACCATAAAAAAGCCAAAAAAGTTCCTACTCTGAAATCATCTCACAAGGCATTAATTTGTAACAACACGGCCATTTTCCAAGAGAAATTATTTATTGTTGACGAAATTGACCGAGTTGCTACGATTGCTCGCAATGGGGTTAAAAAGAATATCCGACGTCACTGTTCATGTAGTAAGGTCTTAAGGATTGATCCCAGTCAGAGAATTATTATCAATTTTCTTTTCCGGTATAATCAGCAAGCCCACCTACACAAAAACAAACCCTTAGGCAGTACCAATACTTGTATTTTTTATTAACTAAATTTAGCGGGTGGTTGGGGTGCAACATTCAGGCATTGTAATTTTTTGCCTATCAATTATTTAACACTTCTTTCAAAAACGATTTCCCTTAATTTTATTTCAATTTGAAATTATTTTGAAATGTGGAAAATCAAGAATAAACGTATTTTTACCCCCCCCCCCCCCCAAACGATGTTACTTGCCTTTATGACAATGATTTGAGATGCTAAAGTTCAATTAAATATACTGGTTTACGCATAGTATCAATAAGTTATAGCTACTCTAAGTGGACTTGACCTAAAAAAACTGTGATTCTTCAGGCAAATACACCACACCAACATCAAAGCAAAATCTAAATTTACCGTCAGTTTTATGGTACAATTGTCACTTAACTACATGTACATGTATATACTATAGTAACAGTGAAAGAAATAAAGTTTTTGTACATTTAATAAATGTAAATAGGTAAATATTGTGTGTTGCACAGTGTAAAGAGAAAAAAAAGGTGTTTTTTATTCTCATTTTAAAAAAAAATATGGAATTTATTTTGTTCTGCACTAATAAATACGATAAAAATGCCTAGGTTACGTATATATCTATAGGCTTGATGCAACACAATCAATTCAAAGTCAGACGTTAAATTTGACTTTCAGAATATACTAAAATGGATAATGTATAATTTCTTATGTGTCACCTATTCACGAGTTGGTACGATGTTTCACGCAATATTTTTTGACCAAGTCAAGGGCCCCGGATGACATTCTAACTTACAGATGTACAATTTAAACATTACTTGAATAAACAAATTCATGCACAGTTAGATATTGTAAACTAGATAATCAGTTAAATTCATATTGGGTGTCAATGAGAACAAGACATTATATAGAAGTGGGCCTCATCCCCTGAAAATCCAAACATTATACAATATACACGCTGTCATCGGTAGAAATTTCCTTAAATTTATTCTCAGCATGTGATTGTAAGCATAAGTTTCAATTATTTGCTTTTCGTATTTGTGATAGATAGATCTCATTATGCATAATGTGCACAGTCGGTGATCTTCGGCTTACTCCGCTACACTCCATTCAAAATGGTACACGAGCCATCCGAGGAGCTCCGAGTGATATATGTACGCCATAACCCCCCCCCCCCCCAAAAAAAAAATCATAAATAAATTAAAGTTAGAAATTATTGACGATTATAGGATATTATTCACAAAACGTACCTGGTCCAGTTAAAATTAAAATAAATCCTAACTTTTTTTTCTTAGAGTCGGGATATGATAGGAAATTGTCAAAATTTCTTTAATTCCTGATTGAAGAAAATTTAATCATTTGCAGTAAATAGACAAGTATAGAAAGCGACTTCATTTGTAAGAAAGGACTTAATAAAAGGTTACTTACAGAGATCAAAAAGGGAGTCCTCAAGACTCAAAAGACAAAACTATATAAAGTTCACAAAAATAAGAGTTCGTAAACATAAGCATTGACATACTATTGGCATACAATCGCAGTGTGAATTGAACAGCTTCCCAGACATAAGATTAACTTGATACTCTGCAATCTATAATCTATATCTATCATCTATAATTGAGAAAGAATATGGAACTATCGAAGTTTGAAAAAAAAAAATCTACAACACTTTTTCTTATGATGTGAATTTCAAGACAATGATCCAGAACTTCATTCATTGATCAAGCATATGAGCGATGTTTTCTTTTTAGAAGGAGGGCTGGGGTTGGGATATGGTGTCTGTACCAGTGTTTTCAAACTGGTTATGGTCGAACTAAAAGAAAGAAATTAATAGTAAAATAAATACGTGAAAACCAACATGAACAAGCAAAATCGAAACGAAAAATAAATTTTAAAAAAGTAAGAGAGAATAAAGAGATAAAAAAATCGGAATTTATCCTTGAAAGGCTTCCCTTTCCGTAGTAACACAGACGAGCACATCCAGGAACGGGGGGGGGGGGGGGGGGGGGTAATCAAACCTTTTAAAGTTTTAATTACAATATTATGTAAGATTATAAACTCAAGATGTGCTCGTATTTATAGTCTGCAACTACTGTTTTGGCCTGAAATCAGATCAGTAATCAGAAAATGAAACTAATGACCTACATGCGTCTGATTCAATACATGACCTATTTCGCTCTTAATTTTCGACTTCAACAGCATCAGCTTACCTTAGGTTACCGAGTTTAGTTTTAATTTATTGCAATTAATCTAGGCAATGAATACAAGACCACAAATTAGGCTTGAAAATGACCACTGTTTATTATGTTCACATTTTATTGCGTCATACAATTGAATTTTAATCTTTGTTGCGCCGAAGGTGACGTGTTAATTTTAGTGAGTAAATACGGAAGTCCGTATGGCTTTGCCGCTTCAACCTTCATGACATGGCTATACAAAAAAGTTTCTTAGCTGATGCACTCATGTTTTTTTCTTAGTATTAATTAACAAAATGCTATTGCAACCATGATAGAATCAGTGAACTTGATTCGAATACTTAATCTCTGATGACAAACTTTGGGCACCGAGTCGCCAATTCTCGGGCCTTTCTGTCTAACGGAGAAACAATCTGGAATGTGTTACATGTAAACCCCCCCCCCCCAAAAAAAAGAAGAAAAAAACAAAATAAAACATTGAAATAAATGCTAGGGACCACTTACTTATCTGTAGAGACTGGAGCTCAGTCGGAAAGACAAAAAAAGCGATTCTTTTCAGAGCCTATGCACGTACATTGATTTGTTGATGAAAATTTTTGACAGCTCACGAATAAATTAAACCATTCATAAACAATCAAAAATTAAATTACTTTATATAATTTTTTGAAAAAATTACCAGTAAAGCGATAAATTGACGATATTGAACATTTTTTTTTCAAGATAGTTTTAGGCGTGTCTATTTTTTAGAAAATGTGTATTACGCAAATATATTTTTGTTTTGCTTTGTCGTATAATTTTTTTTATCGGCAAACGCGCAGACTAGACGTCATGTCTTTGAAGCGCTATTGTGACGTAATTACGTTATGTCACGAAGGTCCCTTTTCGCTTGACGCAACTCAAATATTACTCCATCAAAGTTTGATTTTGGGGCAAATGTTGGTTAATACCGCATATAGTTCTTTTAATCCCCTTCACCCAAGGATCTTATAATCTAAATTGTGGCAAGTGTATATGAAATTGGACCAGTATGTGGTTCTGAAGAAGAGATTGAAATGGAAAAAGTTTACAGACAGACGGATGGACAGCTAGACAGACGGACCACAGACAAAGTGCGATCAGAAAAGCTCATTAGAGCTTTCAGCACCGTGGTGGCGAGCTAAAAACTGTATTTAAAACCGTGTATTAATATATTTACACTTTTGAAAGGGGTGAGAGAACTTATTAAAATGACTTATACATGTACATATATAAATAGCATTTTCAACTTATATTTCACTTAATTATATTAATTTAACACATATTTTTCACATGTACAATTTCTAAAGTTTGCCTAAGAGAACGCTATAATATCTACAGTTTTTTTTTTTTAATGATAATAACTTAATTTATCGGTTAATGTCATGGGTAAAATACACTGTATGTTTTTCTTTTTTTTTTTTCAAATATTATAATAATCTATTGACATTTTTTCCACGATCTAAATATTCGCTTATTGAACATTCTGACATTAAAAAAAGTTTGTAACGCAAAAATTGCGGGAAATTTTTCCGTAGTGTAGCAGGTGCGTGATCACGTGACACAAGTTTCCCTGACGAAGAATGACGATTCGGTTGTTTACAACATGGCGGATGCCATAGGCGGCAAACCCCAAACTCTGTATTATTAATCGCAGAATTCTTGATTGTTAAGGGTGTAATTTTTCTCTAGGTAAGTAATAATCAATTCGTTATTTTATGTTTAATAATTCAATATTTCTTCCGGTCCATTGCTTTCTTAACATACGTTTAGCATCTATTTTGTTCGAATTTCCTCTAAACACATGATCAAGATTTATAACTTTTATTTCTTGGTGTATTGTAGATATTGAAAAGAGGATGAATATTGAAAATATAATTATTGCGAATTGTTGACTATATGAGAAATTGTATTGAAACTATCACTCTTATTTATTGCAAATGCAGTTGTTTTGATAACGCTTTGAAAGGCATGTAGGGTGAATTCACCATGCATCGGATACCCTTGTACTTCAGCAAGTTCTAGCGATATCGCTACAGACGGAAAATTATCAAAATGGAGTTTAACATTTAGTTTGTAATTAAAATACTATTTTGGGACATAATTATATGTCCTTTATTGAGAAAATATCATCAAAAATCGAGTTTTTAGTGATAACTCAAAATTCACCATGGATCGGACATTGTTTACCATGCATCGGACAGACGGTATTTTGACCAGAAAAATATCATACCTTTATCAAAGTGCTTTAAAATGCTTGATATGGATATATTTTTATCTTTTATCGAAGAAATAACCCTCAACTTAAATTTCATTGACGATATCATTGCACAAATGTAGAACGATTCAAGAGACCTCAGTCTGCCTTAGAAATGCTTCAAAGTGCTTATAATGCGGTAATTCGCGCCCTTTTTTTCATGGTTTATCATACTCTGGTTTGTAGAAATAAATTGAGTCAAATTGCAGACGTTTTATATCGATAACTTGTATTTTGACTGAAAATATAGAGTTTTTATTTTCCTTTTCCGCAAAAAACAGCTATCAGATGGGTTCTGTATGAAAATGGTAGTACTTACCATTGCATCGGAAAGTGTCCGATGCATGGTTAATTTGTGTCCGATGTACGGAGAAATGAACATACTAGTGAAAACCAGTTCTATAAAGAATTATACGAACATTGAAGTGAAATTTCTTTAAAATTTATGTAAAATTACCAATCTTTGACTTTATTTACCAAAGTCTGACTCGTTCCGCTGAAGTCGAATTTTAAGAACGATAACTCTAAAAATCGAAAAATCATAAATTTCTGGTTATTCCCCTTTGATGATGTAAAATATGACGTAAGTTCAAGGCCATTCTCGGAATATTTTTATCACAACATGATAATAACAATCGGTATCATTAAAAAATTTAAATCTTCAGCTTCTAGACAGAAACAAATAAATACACGGAACTCTTAAGTTGAAAGAGAATTTATTGTCTAAAGTTGTCCGAAGCAAGGTATGTGTCCGATGCATGGTGAATTCACCCTACTTTCATTTTTAGTTGTACTTCAGATTTAATTTTTCTCTCGTGACATAGGTCTCTTTTCTCTTTTTAAACAAGAATTAAATTAACATTTAGTTACATTGGGTTTTGATCTTGTTGAAGTATAATCGTTTTGTGCTCGTATAGATTTGTACCAGATTGATATGGGTAAGTTTCCTAATGTAAAAAAAAATTGAAAATTTTATATGTAGTTGTTTTGTTAACTTTACATTTCATGTATCAGGACTTTGTTAAAAAACAAAAACAAAATGTCACAAATTAATGACCGACACATTGTTGGCTTGTTCTAATAGAAGGAAGCAATATGGTTTGAAACTAATGGCATTATGCTTGTCAGAAATATCATTTCCTATTCTTAGAAATATATTATACACCTTTTTTTGTATCGAAGTGCAAGTTTAAATCTAGTATGGATAAAAAGGGTTATTTTGTTCAAGAAGAAGCCATTATATTTACATAAATAAGCAATTGTTGCAACATATGTCATTGCATCACGGTGGCATTGTTAGATTCCTTAGATTTCTATTCATAGATTTCTTTAAAATCTTTTTAAAGATCATAATTTTATTTTCAAAATTTTAAATATTCAGAATTAAGTGGACCATAAAAAGTAATGTATTTCCTTCCTGAGAAAAAAATCTGTTTTACAAGATGAGTTTTATTTCATATATAATTTACCTCATGTTTTAAAGTAAAATAACCAACTGAAATTACATGTGAAACAAACAAGAATACATAGAAAAAATTGAACCAAATTTTTACTTTATCCATGTACTTTTTAACAAAAATAGAGAGGGTGAGTAGTTCATTTAGGACTGTTGATTGTGGTGTAAATTTGAATTGATTATAGATGGTTTGATAGCCATCTCCCCCATGTAATGTGTGAGTGTATGTAGAATTACCTTTCCACAGGTCATATTTCTTTTGGTTTCCAAGAAGTTGTTGACTACAGTCTTATGCTTATGATGAATTATTGATGCCTTTCCTAATTAAAGTCCAGCAGAGCTATAGTCTCTGATGTTCCTTTTCCTTTAGTCTTATCATGAATTAAGATTTGACAACCATTTTCACCTTAAAACTTCAAAAAAAAAAAAAAAATCTGCTTGTAAGGTTAAAAATCTCTTTCATGACATCAAAGCCTATAAAATAGTATAATCCTGATTAGATATAAGATATGAGCCATATAAAATGCCAGTGTTGTATAATAACAGTGTTGTAAGCCATTGTCGATGAATTATTAAGTATTGTGTAGTGTAACTTCATGGCTACCTTTCCCCAGTGTTGCTCAGTTTGGAAAATCAATGAATTTTATTGCCGTTTAATTTCCATGGTTATGATATTTGTTTTAGTCTCAAGGACCAGATGCTTGACCTAACTATTTTATTGCTCCGTATAAAGTCAGACTTACATATTTTACTGATTCTGAAGTGTTAAGACTTTTTTCTCTGTACTATAGCTAAAATTCGGAAAAGTTCATGGATCAGTTTCCCAGCTTCCTTACGTATCAGTTTTGTTATGACAATTCATGACATTATATAACAATGTAAACATGTATAAGAGATTTTGGAATGTACTAGTGTGCCTTAAATGAGTACATGCAATCTTGAATTTTATGAGTCACAATACTTGGAATAATACTCTATTGTAAGTATTGGTTATTATATAAATAAATTGCTTTTAAAAGTGTGCTTCTTATTTCAAATTTGTTAATTTTACTTTTACTGATTATTACTTTTGCATATGATATATGTCTTTACTCCATCATTTTGTATATTGAATTAATTTGAATAGAATGTGATATCTAACAGTAAATAAATTGTGTATTAATTTAGAAGAGAAGGAATTTAATCAATATCCTAATGATCGAAATTTCATTAGAACTGTGCAGTAATCCCCTTTATAAGAGAACTTTGATTGATGACAGATTGACAGTAATGTTTTCCTTCATAGGTACCACAGGTATTTTGTGTTTTAACGTGTTTAACTCAATCTCTTCTACTGAGTCTGTCAAAGAAGGGGTTGCTACTGGGTGATTGTTTATGCAGCGTAAAGTTTTAAATCTTTGTTTACTGGGTATGTTCTGATATAGGTATAAAATGTCGATCTTATCTGAGGGGGTATTTAAGGGAAGATAAGTTTGGGGAGAGGAATAGAATCATAGAGCTTTAGGTGATTTGGGGTTGGTATTTTAAATTGCTTAAAACTTTGGCCCAAGTGTTTAAAATTTGTTAAATATATGTAGCCATTTTCAATGTGCCTTTTTTACAGGGGAGGGGTATGATAAAAAAAAAAAGATTTTGAAAATGTCTTTATTACATTACAATTCCAGATTCCAGCTAGTTTATAAAAGTATAGCATTTTTGTAGTACACTGTAATTAATACAGTCCTTTTTTGTAATATTTTGAAGGAATTACATTTTGAAGATGTTCATGCATCGTCCGAAGCCTTAATACATAAATAGCTTTGGTGATTTAAGTTTAAGAACATGACACATACAGTGTAAAAAGGAGTAAACATTGTCTTCACCATGTGATATATCCAAGTTAATCAATACAAGAGGACATTATGGTAGTTGATACCCCTTCACTGTTTTACAACCTCCAGGAGAAATCATATAAAACACCTTGGTGAAGGAATGTGGAGTACCTGGGTTATTCAGAACTGTTTTTATGAAGCATCAAATGTGTATATTTCAAGTTTATATTGAATCTTAAAAGTGACAAAATCGTATACATAGCATGTACATGTTGTATTATAGCTGACTGACTTTAATCAACTTTTTAGTTTACATCTTTTGTCCTGTATATTTTATGGGAGTCTTAAAAAAAAAAAAGTCATTATATTCTCAGAAAATTCATTCTTGATAACTGGTAAAAGCTTAAACCAGAAGCAATACATGCACAGGTAGACAGGTAGCCATTGTTTTGAGTATAATACCTGTACAGACATTTACCTGGGTAATATAATTTAAACCCAAACAAGGACAGGATTTTGTGTTAATAATCTCCCAGCTTGTTTGACTAGATATCTAGCCATTGATACATCAATCCAAAACTTGTCGCCATATCAAACACACTTTCAAACGGGTATAGATCTGCACTGCAAAGATTTCTCGGTCATGTAGGTATAGGTGGAAGCTAGGACTCTTACGTGAAAGTTCCGATTTAAAATTTCCGTTTTAATTTCCTATCTCGAGCGACAATTTGATAGGGTTTCTAATGGCAGCAGCTTGCTTGTGTACTATCAATAAAGGTGAATGAATATTAGTCATACTAATTAACACCCAAAATATTTTAAAATATGGAGGAATTTTCTTAAATTCTTAAATATTTGTTGGAATTTAACAGGTTTTTAAGTGTCTGGAATATAAATTAAACTATGGAAACTGTTCAAGGTAAATATGTGTAAATGTTTTTGTATATAATTATAATATATATACATGTAATAAGCTAACTAAATAGAAAGTAGATTGTTGTGTTATATAAGGAAATTAAACGATTAATTAAGTGTGATGAGTGACATGTATGTTCGTAGTCTAATTTAGGGGAACAGTCACATTTTGCTAAACTCATTTTGCTAAATATGCCTTTTCATAGACTTTTCAGATATGTATATTGGCTAGTAAAACTTGTTATACATGTAC